ATTTGAATATAAAAGTTATAGGGACGGTTAGGATACACATTTTAAAATTATTGTAGAGTATACAGGGTGCTTCAAAAAAGTGTGACGAATATAACATATGTTTTTTTAAATGGAATACCCTATTTTTTATTTTATTTTTAGATTCTGCGTAAAATTCCATAACTTTTTTTGTATTATAATGTTATATACCTAAAATTAATAGTTTCTGTAGTATTTAAATTTGTTTAAACAAATGTTAGATTGCAGTGTGATAAAAAATTGTCAGTAATGGCATTGTTTCTGAAGTTGGAGAACCAAAATTTGGTAGGAGAATTTAATAGCGATATAGAAAAAGACGTATGTAAAGATATTTTGTTAGATGCTACAGGGTGTTCAAAATATATTTATGAATTTCGACTACTTAAAATTGAGAAATTTCAAATTTTTTAAACGGTACACCCTATATATTATCATTTTTTCTGATAGATTTTACAAAACTCTTCAACTTTTGTTAACTATGTCATATACCTATTTTTAATAGTTTGCGATTTATTCCAATTTTTTTCTATTTTTGCCCATATTTTTATTACAATTACGCAAAATTTGTTGTCTGTTAAGCAAGTTAAGAACAAAATTTGAATTTTAGTTTAATATGTTGTAATAAGTATAAATTGTAGAGATATATAGTTGCAGATTATCCTGAAATGAATTAGTCAATTTGACTGATATACACGAACAAGCCAAGAAAAACATATTTTTTGGTCCAGTACTAAGGGTACTATATATTATATAGGGCTTTGCTAAGTAGTATAAGAATAGATGTAGATTATCTAGAAAATATCTTCAGTGTGTAATGGGACGGTTTCACGGCAGTAGTAATATTGGCTTTACCAAATGAATTATAAACTAGAATTACTACGAGAAAAAATCTTTACTGTATGTCGAAAAAAATTCCTATATTAGTAGTCTTCAACAATTAGATAATATAGTATTACCTTAATCTGTGGCTATTCGCCCCGACGCGCGACGGAAAATCCGAGTGTCCTCTTTGTAAAAGAAAATTCCTATATGAGTAGTCGTGAACAATTAGGTAATCTAGAGTTACCTTAATCTGTGGGTATTCGCCCTGAGAGAAAGTGTCATCTTTTATAATATGGAAATACACCAAGAAATTCACGACTACGGTTTTAGTTTATTTGAGTAAAGTTAATTAACTTTAACTAATACCAGCAATTGTAACTAATTATTTAGCTACTTGTTCAAGATAAGTCATAAATTGTTTTGTCATGGCAAGTATGATTTTATAGGGTAACTGTATTAAAAATATGGGTAAAATAGAAAAAATTGGAGTAAATCGCAAACTATTAAGAATAGGTATATGACATACTTAATAAAAGTTGAAGAGTTTTGTAAAATCTATCAGAAAAAATGATAATATATAAGGTGTCCCATCTAAAAAATTTGAGATTTTTTAATTTTAAGTAGTTGAAATTCATAAATATATTTTGAACACCCTGTAGCATCTAACAAAATATCTTTACATACGTCTTTTTCTATATCGCTATTAAATTCTCCTACCAAATTTTGGTTCTCCAACTTCAGAAACAATGCCATTACTGACAATTTTTTATCACACTGCAATCTAACATTTGTTTAAACAAATTTAAATACTACAGAAACTATTAATTTTACGTATATAACATTATATATAAAAAAGTTATGGAATTTTACGCAGAATCTAAAAATAAAATAAAAAATAGGGTGTCGCATTTAAAAAAAACATATGTTATATCCGCCACACTTTTTTGAAGCACCTTGTATACTCTATAATAATTTTAAAATGTGTATCTTAACCTTCCCTACAACTTTTATATTTAATTTTTTTTTGTAAATCTCGAAACAAATGAGATAATGGACTTTACTCTATCGTTGACTTACCCTGTATAGGTCATGACTGGTAGTACACATTGATCAAATGTTTTCTTTAGATAAAGTGGCATTCTAAAGACTAACTTTTTTTTTGATGCGACAAATAATAAAAAACTAAGACAACGATAACAATTTTTGATAAAAACAATAAATAATTTTATCAAAATAAATGTGGAATATGATTAGTTTGTTGTTCTAATCTCTTAATCGTCGAACAAAAAATATATACTTCAAATTCTTTAATTGAAACAAGCAGATAAAGTTCTAAATAACATTTAATATTGATCCAATAAATTTTCTATCGAATAATTCATAAAAATACGTGTTTTTGTGGCAGAAATACAATCATAACTAGACCCTCAAATGTTTAACTTATAATATTCGTTTTTCTTATCACTTCTGACGTAATTTTACATTGCTGACGTAAATTTACCAACACTTAATTAGTTAATAAAGTTTTCAAAAAAATATAATCTTTATATGCGATATGCATAATATTATGTTAATATATCGGAGCAATTGGAATATATGATTAAAATGTCCCATTAAAAATGATTTTAACATGTTTAGCAACAAAATGCGGTCTAAAGTCTATTTTCGTCAATTTGATTGATGTAAACAATTAAATACTAGTATATTTTTGGTCATAAATAATCATTTTTTCAAAAAGTGTCAAAATAAATTAAACTTTCTAGCCCAGCTTGCTACTAGATCGTAATTTATTCTGTTTTTTTTATTGAGAAATTACAATCAATTAGATAATGTTAGTGTAACACTGATGTAATTTTATGGATATTATATGGGTCTCACAACGGTAAAGTTTGAGTTGAAGAGTAATTGACAAATGAAAAAGTTGCCATTAAAATTTCCCTAAGGTTAATTTAACATCAAATTCGCTAGAAAAACTGAAACTGATGACGCAGGAACTGTAAAATCTTTTTCGACTGGTTAATTCTACTGTCATATGATCATTCGACATTCACAAGAGATGCTTCTAGTATTACTTTAAAGTAAAATAAATATTGCAATATAGTTATTTAATAATAAATGCAATTATAGTTATTTATACTTGGACCAAACGTTTCCATTGGTACCCTACCCAACACAAAATACAATAGAAAAAGGCAAAATTATTATGCAAGAACTTTGAAATCTCGTTCAATCAGCTAATTCCATTGTCAAATGACACCGTCCAAAGTCTCCAAATGATACTTTAAACAAAATATATTAAGAAAACTGAAATTTAGCATGCAGGAACTGCAAAATCTCCTTGGATAAGCTAATTACATTTTTAGATGATTATTTGATACCGGCCAAATGCTCTTCATGGTACTTCAACATAAAATTCTTGAGCAAAATTCAAAATTACGATGTAGGAGCTCTAAAATTTAGTTCTAGCGACTAATTCTACTGTCAGATGATCATTTGATACCATCCAAAGACTCGACATGATACTATAGTCGGCGTTTAAAATATCGCGTCCCGATCGGGCATCAAGACTAAATATGTTGGAAAAAGTGCAATTTTTGATGCAGGTTCTAAAAAATCTCTTTCGATTAGCTAATTCCACAGTCAGATGATTATATGACACCATCCAAAGACTTCAAATGTAACTTTAACATAAAACTCATCAGGAAAAGTCAAATTTACGATGCAGAAACTGTAAAATCTTCTTACATCGACGAATTCCACTATCGGGTGATCATTTGGCACCTAAACCAAAGGCTCCAAATGTTACTTTAACACCAAATTCGTCAGAAAACGTGAAAAATGTGATGCAGGAATCGTAAAATCTTGTTCAATCAACTGATTCCACCGACCAAATGCTCCAAATGTTAGTTTGACACTAAGTATATTAGAAAAATTGAAATTTATGATGCAGGAACTGTAAAATCTTTTTGGATCATCTAATTCCATGGTCAGATGATTATTTGACACCAACCAGATACTCTTAATGTAACTGTAACAAAAAATTCAATAGAAAAGGCCAAAATTATGATGCAGGAACTCTAAAATCTCGTTTCAATTAGTTTATTCCACTGTTAGATAATCATTTGATACTGCACAAAAGCTCCTGAAGTTACTTTAACATGAAACATGTTAGAAAAAAATCAAATTTATGATACAGGAACTGTAAGAACTCTTTCAATCCTCTAATTCCACTATCAGATGATCATTTGACACTATCCAAAGTCTCCAAATGTAACTTTAACACAAAATAAATTAGAAAAAGTCAAATTTACGATACAGGAACTGTAAAATCTCCTTCTATCAGCTAATTCCACTATCAGATGATCATTTGACACTATCCAAAGTCTCCAAATGTAACTTCAACACAAAATATGTTAGAAAAAGTCAAATTTACGATGCAGGGACTGTAAAATCTCCTTCTATCAGCTAATTCCACTATCAGATGATCATTTGACACTATCCAAAGTCTCCAAATGTAACTTTAACACAAAATATGTTAGAAAAAGTGAAATTTACGATGCAGGGACTGTAAAATCTCCTTCTATCAGCTAATTCCACCGTCAGATGATCATTTGACACTATCCAAAGTCTCCAAATATAACTTTAACACAAAATAAATTAGAAAAAGTCAAATTTACGATACAGGAACTGTAAAATCTTCTTCTATCAGCTAATTCCACTATCAGATGATCATTTGACACTATCCAAAGTCTCCAAATGTAACTTCAACACAAAATATGTTAGAAAAAGTCAAATTTACGATGCAGGGACTGTAAAATCTCCTTCTATCAGCTAATTCCACTATCAGATGATCATTTGATACTATCCAAAGTCTTCAAATGTAACTTTAACACAAAATAAGTTAGAAAAAGTCAAATTTACGATGCAGGAACTGTAAAATAGCCTTCTATCAGCTAATTCCAGCGTCAGATGATCATTTGACACTATCCAAAGCCTCCAAATGTAACTTTAACACAAAATTCATCAGAAAAAGTCAATTTTACGATGCAGGAACCGTAAAATCTCCTCGGATCGGCTATTTCCACTGTGAGATGATCATTTGACACCGTCCCAACGTCACGGTCCTTCTCGTGACCCTCCCGAGCGTGGTTAGCGCAGTCCACGCCAGTAAAAATAACCACGTAACTCGTCCCAAGGTTCGCGGCGTTTAAAATATCGCGTCCCGATCGGGCATCAAGCTCAGTTCAGTAGCGATACGGAATCTGTTCGGAACAGTGCGCGACGAAACAAACGTCGTAGACGTATTTCGAGGCTTGAGACTTGAAAGTTTTTTTAGTGTGAGTCTTCTGTGTTAATTTTGTCTGTGATTTCGACTGATTTACTCGTACCAAATGATATAATAATTCCTTTAAAGTATTAAGTGATTTTTTGTACGACTTTTTAAAAAGAAAACAGGTAATTTTTTTAAATTTTAGCTGTGATTTTAGAGCTTAACATTTTTTATTCAAATTTTGGATTTTTTTGTAAAGTAATATTCTTTTATTACACTTCGATTTTTTAATTATACCAAATAATATACAGGGCGAGTTTTAAATAAGTATTTACACATTCTTTTTGCCGATTTTTTTTTTCAAAATTTTGTATTTTTCAAAAAAAAATTTCGAAAATTTTCAGTTAAAAATCATAATATCTTGATAATATGGCAACATAGGTAATAGATTAAATTTAGAGGAAAGAAACCCCATAAAAATCCGGTGGTTCTCAAAATGTTAGCAAAAGATAATTTTTTCGAAATTTTGTAGTAATTTGAAAAACAGCAAAGAGAAAATAGGTATGTTTCTTTTATCGAGGTCTACAAGCCCTGTGAAAATATGTGTGCTTATTTAAGACTCACCCTGTATAAAGTGATTTATGTTATAAACTTTGAGAGAGAAAAGATATTTTTTTAGAAAATAATAGAAACATTTTTTTTGTGATTTTTTTGTTAAGTTATCTGTAATTTAGTATAAATCCTTCATTATATTAAGTTTTTTTCAAAAAATATTTTGGCAACAAGGTATTTTTTTTAAATTTTAGAGCTTTAACATTTTTGATCCAAATTTTGACCTTTTTTGTAAAGTAATACACAAATTACACTGCGATTCTTTAATTATACCAAATAATATACAGGATGAGTCTTAAATAAGTACCTACACATATTTTTTGGAGTGGTATATTTCGATCCCAAAATCAAGTCTATGATTTTTTTATATGTATACTATGACAAAATACAAAAAATATTATTAATGAAAAGCTTAATAAAGAAACGAATGTTTATTTAATACTTATCATCCAAAATTATTTATTGTACATATATTACTTTATTGTTTTGTGGTATTACAAATAATGTGACACATCTTATAAGTAAATTATAATCTTGGATGTACTGTGACAGACGGATTGAAGGTTATTATTAATTTGTTCAAATATCAATGATTACAATCCTTTATCGCTTTCAATACATTATTATACAAAATTTAATAATGTTTCACAAATTTTCAAACAAATTTCAACGTAGGTTTATAGCGCAATAAAAAAATAATTAAGCTTGCTTTGTTAGAAATTGTATTAGTAATTTCAAATTAAAGTCTGACACATTTATTTAACCAAACTATTTTTATGTATATTTTAGGTTTGCTTTTAATTTTTATTATTTTTCTTCATTGTAATAATATTTCTTTTCTAAATCTAATTTATTTAAAAAATAATTTTCTGTTTAATTTTTTTCCGCGAATTTTTTCAGTATTTTAGTAGTTATTCTGTTATTATTATTATTATTGTAATAACATTTTTTGGATGTTTGAGTTTTTGTTGAAAGACACAAAATTATTTAATATAATTTCAGTAAAGATTTTGAAAAAAACAATTAAAAATAAAAAAATAATCAATATCAAATCTTTTTCTTTTTAGAAAATAACAATTAATTCAATAACAAACTTTTAATAAACAATAACAACTGAAAATAGCGAAAACAAAAATTATACGTATTTTTTTTGAGGTTATGTTTTCTAGAATTTTCGAATTAAAGCATGACATAGACAAAACATCAAGGACTAAATATTTGATTAATTTATTCCTCAATTAGATACCAAAAAAATTGATTAGCTTAGTTAAATACTGAGTTAAATTTTTCATAATCGGTAACTGTAACATTTTTTTTTTGTAATTACCATTTTTTTGCAATTGGTTTTAATTAAGTTTTTGTTTACACAATGCCATTTTTTTTGTAAAAAATGTCTATTTGCATTATTAACAAACTAGATTAGTTAATGTAAAACCGTATCTGATTTTTAGATTATAGATTATATAAGTATACAGGGTGTCCCAGAAATAAGTGCCTATGAGGTTTTTTTCGCGAAAAAAAAAATTTGAAAATCCGAAATTTTTTGAAAAAATTTTTTTGTTTTTAGTTAAAAAACATAGTTTCTTGATAATATGGCAACATAGGTATTAGATTAAATTTACAAGAAAGAAAATCCAGAAAAGATTCAGTGGTTCTCAAAACTTTAACAAAAAATCATTATTTTTTTGAAATTTTAAAAGTAAACTAACTCCGTTATTTTGGAGTTATTTGAAAAACGACAAAGAGAAAATATGTTTCTTTTATCGAGATCTGCCACCCCTTAAAATACTTGCACTTATTTCTGGGACACCCTGTATAATACAAAGCAAGAATAAATATCTTGAAAAAAAAAATCTGAAAAACAGAAAACTAAAAAAAAGTAATTTTTTGTAAAATTTTTGATGAAAATTGGAAACAAGCTGTGGAATGGTTTACCAAAATAAGGAATTTAAAAACCACTTTTTTTTGTTCACCTCAAGGTGTATACTTTCCTCGATAGTTTGTTTATGGCCGAGAGACAATAACTGCCCGAGGTTCATACATACATTCTATAATTCCCGTGGTACACAGATAATTTTATTTCTTACTCTGAATTTAGTACATTTTGTCGTATTTAAAATGACACAAATATTGCATTGATTAATCTTCCGGTATATTTGTTACACCTTTCGCACGAATATGGCACTCGTTCGAGTACGTTTCCATTAAAATGGAGAAAATATTAAAAAAAAACTGAAGAAGCAAGACAAGCTTTATTTCCACCTAAAAGTGAATCCATTTACCAAAAGGAATATAAAAAATACCTTCAGTGGTTGAGACAGAAAAATAATGCAGCAGGGGATGTTGATGAAACTGTTCTCTTGTAAATTTATTATATGTGACATTAATGACGTAAATAAATCATTAGGGTAGTTATTACTCAAAATTTATATTGTATTTCATGGTTGTTACTTATAAAAGATAGAGGGAATTATGACATCTTATTTCCTGTTAATAATGTCCCAAGGGAGTCCCAACTCTATACAGGGTGTCCCAAAAATAAGTGCAACTATTTTAAGGTGTGGTAGATCTCGATAAAAGAAACATATTTTCTCTTTATTGTTTTTCAAATAAGCCCAAAATAACGGAGTTATTTTACTTTTAAAATTTCCAAAAAATAATGATTTTTGACTGAAATTTTGAGAACCACCGGATTTCTTCTGGATTTTCTTTCTTCTAAATTTAATCTAATACCTGCATATGTTGCCATATTATCAAGACATTATGGTTTTTAACTAAAACCTAAAAAAAAATCCAAAAACAAAAAAATTTCAAAAAATTTCGAATTTTCAAATTTTTTTTTGCGAAAAAAACCTCATAGGCGTGTTTGTGGGGTTGAACTATTCTACCAGTTAAAATACCTGCACTTATTTCTGGGACACCCTGTATATGTTAGCGTAAAGGAGACGATATAATACGATATAAACTTATATTCATTCAGTAAGAAATAAACATATTTTCTTGTAATAAACATATTTCTTCTGTAGACAGAAATATCTTGTTTCTTCTTTCTATCAAAGGAAATATTTACGTAATCATAAAGTTTAAACAGTGTAGATTCAATAAGCCAATGTATAGGGATTCCCTAATCCCGCAGTCTCTCTAATTTTAGCACGGATTAATAAAATTTCATAGGCGTCTATCGATTGATTTCCTCCATTTAAAATCTTTGCTGAACAACGCTGTTTGTTTTGCATAATGTTTCATTTAACGATATAGGCCTAATTGATTGTTTATTAGAATTTGTTTAAGAATAAAAAAATGGAGTTTTTTTTTATAAAAAAGTGATGATATTTGGTTACAAATTACCTATAACAGATGCGAAAGAACACCGCATTACGCGTTCAGGTTTCTGTGACCTTCAGAAAGAGTTCATAGACAATCCGCATCAATGTATAGTTTGGGTGAAAATAATCTGCACCAATATGTTATCGAGGCATATAATCTCACAGTAATTTAATAGATTGCTCGTCATATTATACCAGTTCGTCGGAGATTAGGAAAAAAAAGATATTTATAGTATAAAAAATTAATTTATTTAACAAAATTTAATTAAAGATGTGACAAAATAGTTACTTTTCTATTGGTTCTATCGGACTTTTTTCGACTATATAAATCTTTATTTTTTGTAAACTTTAATGCATAAAATATTTTCAATCTAATAAATAATTTAATGATGTAAATAAGAGGAAATTTCTCACATGGGTGGTCAAATTTTATAGTTTTCATTATATCAAACAGCCTCTGAGAAATGTTTTCAACTCAAAATGCCTTTAATTATGTTTGACTACATCATTAAAAAGGGTCTTCAAATACATCAATGTGATATTTGTCTAAAATTTGCAAAAGAATCCGAATCTCTGGATAACTCGAAATTATTTACCCATTTAAAAGCCTTTGATCATGAAAGTGGAAAAATTTGTTCATTTTATTTACAGGCTGGAAAAATTATTTATATTAAATTTTGATGAGTTTTGCACTGAAGAAAACATTCAGAGGCTGTTTGATATAATGAAAACTATAGAATTTGACCACCCATGTGAGAAATTTCCTCTTATTTACATCATTAAATGATTTATTAGATTGAAAATATTTGATGTATTAAAGTTTACAAATAAAGATTTATATAGTCGAAAAAAGTCCGATAGAACCAATAGAAAGGTAACTATTTTGTCACATTTTTAATTAAATTTTGTTAAATAAATTAATTTTTTATACTATAAATATCTTTTTTTCCTTATAAATAAACACATTTGTATACCATTTTAAATAAGATATACAAATTACCAAAACTTAGAAATAACAGTTCAAAAGTTCAACAAAAATCCTACACCCGTTTTTAAAAAGAAACATATAACCACGCACTGTCATTCCAGCAAGCGAATACGACACAGCATAGGTTTCCGGACTAAACGACTGGTGTATTTACACCACTCAATAGGCGTGTCGGGTTTGCCGAGCGGTTTCCGATGCAGTCGCTTTCTTTCGCATCTGTTATAGGTAATTTGTGATTTGGTTATAACTTCTATTGTCC